AATTAAAAACCAAAACATTAATTAGATTAGCTGTTTTCATATTTTACAATCTGATCACCTAGTGCTACTGTAGTTGTTTTATTTCAGTTGGCACTTCTTCTTACCACTTACCCCTATAACCGGATGAACACAAAGAGGTTGTTTTCATCTAACAAACATGCACTGATGGATCCAGATGAAGGCGAGTGACGACAAACCTTTTGTTTACCTCTTATAAAGTTTCTCGACTTTTATACGACATTTTGCCTTTATAAAAACGATATTAAATACATCTGCGACCAAAAACTTTGTGAGAAGGTTGAACGTTGAAACCCTTTTTTAATTTATTCCTGTGCTGGTACATTTAGAAAAATTCAATTCACTAGGCAAAAAGCGCAAATATAAAAAACAACTTCACATAAACAAATTTTAATTAAAAGTTTAGCATGAACATAATAAATAACGGTTTGGGTTTAGCAAACTTGTTTGGGACATAAAATGCTTAAATTAGATTATTGTTACGTTCCTATTTTAAAATGTTCATTAAGGTTTTAAAGAATAGGGAAAGAGCGAATATAAAGATGGGAGACAAAATATTAGAAAAACAGTGGCTGATTTTCGGGGATCTAGGAAGTCAGATAAGTCAGGAAGAAAGGAGTAGTAGAGATATAAAGCAGAGGATAGCGCAGGGTCGAGTCGCCTCTAATATAAAGAAGTCATTTTAAAGTTCGCGAACGGTTAATTTAGAAATTCGAAAAAGGTTATTAGAGGTGTATGTTTGGAGCGCGGCGCTGTACGGGTGCGAAACATGGACGGTGGGTGCGGCGGAAAAGAAAAGGTTGGATGCGTTCGAAATGTGGTATTACAAGCGAATGATGAGGATACCGTGGATAGAAAAGGTTAGAAATGAAGAGGTATTAGAAATAATAGGAGAACAGAGGACTCTATGGAAGTCAATAAGAAATAGGTGACATAGATTGGTAGGACGCCTTCTCAGGCATGAAGAGCTAATCGGAGACATACTAGAGAAGGAAACAGAAGTTAAAAGGATTTAAAATAATTCGAAGTGGTGTATATTCTGTGGAAACTGACAGACGCGAATCGCGATTTCGATCTTTTTGGATCACATCAGCGCGTCGCAGGCAGCCCGACAGAACAGACCAACTTTTACCTGCTGTCTTACCAGTGCGTTTTAGAAAATACTACAAATGGCGCAGTAAACGCCATCTGTAGCACGATGCTACATTTTAGGATTACGTATGCTCCAATGAGGTCCACTTGTGTGGATATCTACTTGCTGAAAACGAATCCCGGCGTAGCTAACCTCAACGTGATAGGCACGTTAGAATAATCGAATAAAATAATTCGAAGTGGTGTGTTTTTTAAAAGGATTTGTTTACACGGTGTCCTAAAAGCTACACACAGAGCAATAAACAAGTTTTAAGTTTACATAATGTTAGATGATACTTGCACCATATGGAATAACACCCATCTGTCTAAATTTGAACGGGTTCAACAAGTAAAATAAATAACAAAAAACCGTTAAATTAGACCCCACTGAATTCTAAAAATAATAAATCAAAATTAATGTAGTCAAAAATTATCGAAAGGTAAAAAATTCGATCCGCTATTTTTCTATTATCAAGATTGTCCTTGGTTTCTGATGTTAAATTTATCGTAGAATTATTGAAAAGCAGTAAATTTCTCGCCTCATATCTTTTGTCTATTGGAAAACATTAGTTTCGTGTGAAACAATTTCTGTTACGTTCCGTTTCCCACAAGATTTCCTCTTTTGTATTCGCGTGTTCGCGGGAGCAGAACAAAAAGTTATCAATTTTTAAATTCGATGCAGCATCCGTCTGAGCGACCTTAATTTGCCAGCTCACGTGAAGTAACAGCCGCTAAGTGAAACCCAGATACGAGACTAGGAAGGGAAATGGCTCTAGAACAGAAAGCTTTTCTGGCTTTTCCCTCTAATTGCTGCCGTAACTCTATTCCGCTACATCTTCTGTATTATTTCGACGGCACAATGTAACCGGCTCTTTTTACACACGTTAATACCCGTTACGTGTACGCTGTTTTACCTACACATCGATACCTATTCATTTTTTAATCGATCGGGTTCCTCCTGTTTCTATAGCTATCCTATCATTCGCACTTTTATTGTATTTTCATAGCGGGAGATACGTAAAATTTGAAGGAAAAAAGGAATACACACTAAAAATGTGATTTTATACGATTTTTGAGTATTAAATAATTCCAAGTTGGTCTGTATTCTGTAGAAACTGCCAGACGCGGATAGCGATTTCGATCATTTGGATCTCATCAGCGCGTCGAAGGCAGCTCCGACAGAACACAGGCCAACTTTTACCTGCTGCCTTAATAGCGCGTTTTAGAAAATACGACAAATGGCGCTGTAAACGCCATCTGTAGTACAATGCTACATTTTAGGATTACGTATGCTCCAACAAGGTCCATTTGGAGATCGGGCTGA